ATTTCTTGGAACTAAGTTGGGAAAATTATTATGAAGATCAATTAAATTATAAAACATGAGGTAAAGCTCTCCTTTTTAAATTTAATTGGTGCATTTTTAATTGTATTTATTTATTAATCATTTATATATTTCTGCTTTTTCTCTAGTTATGTCAGTGTCGGTCCTCCATACAGCAGAACTTGGTAATTCAGTGTCTGAATCAGGTGTGTTGGAGCAGGAAAATCATAAAACCTGCAGGGCTGCGGCCCCCCAGGACCAGGACTGCCCCCCCCTGCTTTAGCCTATCTGTGCAGAATAATTGATGTAATGAACTATAATTGTGATTTTTATATTTAAAGTGAGCACAGGTTGTCAGGCTTGATGTTTATCACAAGGATGTATTTAGTTCTGAGGTGACTCAGATGGACAAGCCTGAGATGTTTAGCTCCTTCATCAACTACATGATATTTTTCAAACATTTAAAAGTTTTTTTTCCAATAGAGTCTGTTACTTTGAGAAAAAAAAGGATGTTTTTAATCAAACTTAGCTGCATAATGTGTGTAAACAACACAGCCTGTGAATGGGACTGTGCATTGTTTGTCAGTATCTTCTCCTTCAGTATTGATCATTGGTGTTTTAGAAACAAGGGAACAAAACAGATTCTGTTAGAACCAAGCCTTTTCATGTGTTTTTTTATAAAATCTCTACTGGACGGAGTCGTAACTTTAACTCCTCCAGCTGGAGACGGCCTGGATTAAAGAGGAAGAGCAGAAAACACTGAAACACAGTTTGGACCATTCCAATCAGTAAAACTGGATTTTCTCATTCAAATCAAGCTTTCTGAGACATGTTCATGTGTACCAATCCTTCACTTCTATTTGTTCATTTATGGTGTTATTTATGCATATTTGTGATCAGACAGAAATGTAATTTTGTATAATGTTTTTGAATAAAGTTTGACATTGGGATTCGCTTCTGTCCTCTCCGTCTGGAATGATGTCTACAGAGAGAAACTGTGAGAACAGTTGAATAAAATAAATAATTTATTATATGTTTGTTTGGGATGGGCTGCTGAAGTCTGTTTTTCATCATCTACATGTCATAAAATAGAATAGAAGCAGCCTTTATTGTCCCACCAAGGGGAAATTCAGGTGTGTCAGCAGCATCTGCACAGAGGTTCACGCACTAGTTCAAGTTTATTTCTACAGCTCCAAGTCCCAACATCCGTTGTCTCAGGACACTGTAGATAAAAAGAACAATGTAAAGAATATAGCAGCAGATTGTGTTGAATCACTTCATCAA